ACTAATTGTCAAAAGAAAAAATTAGAAACCCATTTCTGAGGAAACTCAAATTGGAATTATTAGTGAAACGTATAAATGAACTGTCTTAAATATGTTCTTTAAGCTCAAGGAAACCAGGAAAATGATGTCTGAACAAAATATCAGTAAAGAGGTAGCCATTATAAAAAGGAACCAAACAAATTTTGGATCTTTTCAGTACAACAACTGAAAAAGTCACTAGAGTTCAAACAGTTTTGAATAAGCAGAAGGAAGGATCCGCAAACTTGAGGAAATTATCCAATCAGCTGCAGAAAGAGAATAAGGAAAAGTGAACAGAACCTGTGGGACGTCATCAAGGGTACCAGCATTTACATGATAGGAGTCCAAGAAGGAGAAAAGGGCAGAAAAAAATGTTAGAGGAAATAGTGGTAAAAAAAACTTCCCAAATCACATGAATATATACATCCAAGAAGCTCAAAAGATTCCAAGTTAGATCAACTCAAAGAGATCTACACAGACATAGTTAGGTAATCAAAACCTAAAGACAAAACACCAAGGAAGAAGTGATTCATTGCATACTAGAGACCATTAATAAGATTGACCGCTGATTTCTTCTCAGAAACGATGGAGGCCAGGAGGCAGTGGGATAGCAAATTTAAAGTCCTGAAAGGAAAAGAAAGTTCTATACCTGGAAAAATTATATTTGGCAGAATAAAGGCTAAATTAAGACATTTCCAATAAATAAACACTCAGGGAGTCATCACCAGTGGACTTGCCCTGTAAGAAATGCTAGAGTGTTATGATGCAAGAACAGTAACTAGACCCACTGCAACTGAGTCAGTTCTGACTCATTGTAACCCCCATAGGATAGAACCTTGGAACTGTAAATTTTTATTAGGCATACATAGCCTCACCTTTCTCCAGTGAAGTAGCTGGTGGGTTCAAAAATTGATCTTGTAGTTAGTAGCCCAACATATACCTACTATGCCAGCAGGACTCCATAGTAACTAGAAGCCATATAATAAGAAACTAGTAAAGGTAACTTCACATAAAAATCAGTGTTAAACAACAGTAAAGGTAGAAGTCTTGTATCATAAATTGAGAAGTGGTTAATCTAACATTCCAGGAACAGAGGACTCTAGGACCATCAAGGGAGAAGAGCACAAGCAGAGAGTGGGGCCCCATCAAGAGAAGCAGCAACACCAGAGATGGAGGCAGAGGTGAGGGCATGGAGAGAGAGAACAGCTGAGGACTCGTGGAAAGAGAAAGGCTGTAGGCTGATGGCCAGGAGGCAGGCTGGCCAAATGTGCTTTGGGTTGTTTAAATGATTATATATTCCTGAGTATTTTTGTGAACATCAAAAAGAACAACAAAACAGAAGGAATAGAAGCAAACACTTGAATGAATGCATGGAGGGGATTGCAATCATTGCAATGAAATGAGGAGTATAAAACGGATATTCTCCCATGTAAGCTATCACTCAATTTACAATAAAAGCTATAATAATAATAATAATAAATTCTTGATCTTTTAAGATAATATAAACTGAAATTTAAAAAAACAAACTTTGAAATCTAAGAAAAAGTAAAACAAACCTACAAAACTGAAAACAGGTTTCCGGTTCCAGGCTACAGCCAGGGGAGTCAGGTGGGGAACACTCCAGTGAGAAGGGAGGGGGACCTCACGAAGGAAACATTCACATGGCAAACCCAGAGCTTCCCAACTATCATAAGATCTAGGACTTCAATCTCCCGAAGTCGCATTTTTTTAAAAATCACGCTACTAAAGGAAAATACGGGCCTCTTAAGACTCTTGCCGCGGGACCAGCAGGACTGCTCCGGTGACTACCCTGCCTCTGCAGAGTTTAGAGGTTGGGGCTAAAGCCAGCCCATTCAGAAAGCGGTGTTTCCAGCAAAAAAAAAAAACCTAAACAAACAAAGCCGCAAGAAGCTACAAAACTCTCCTTCAAAATCTCCCTGCCCCAGCTTAAGATCTCAGCGTGGACATCAGGCAGGACAGTTTACCCATGGCACAGAGAGAGGGAGCGGGGCGGCAACTTTTGATGTCACCCGCCAGCCCAAATCTGAAGCCGTGTATCTGAGCGGGGCAGAGCACACCGCCTTACTCCCAGGTAGCAGCATGGAACTTCCAGCTATTGTTCTGTGGAACATGCAGCCTTTCTCCCAGGGAACAGATTAGAATCTCCAGCTATCAACCTTGCAACCCGTGGCTGCAGGACAAACTCAAGGCAATCTATAAAACCCCAACAGAACAGGTTTCAACCATCCCAAGATTGGTGCTGAGCACATGCAGATAACTGACAATCAGAGACAAAACTAGCAGTAGATCTTTCTCCCATTAACTCCCCCAATATATATCTGCGCAACTATATGGCAGTGGCTAGAGGAGAGGCCTGAAAGAGGGGTTACCCCACCCCTGCTGGAGGCTTCTATTTGCACACACACTGATGGTGTAGCATGGAAAAGTTGACCAAAGCTGCATCTCTGCTCCAAAGTGGTGATTTCTGTCTATGTGTTTATATTACTTCTGCTTTTGGTCCTTTTGATCACACATCTTTCCTGGAAGTGGGAGCTTTCCCTCCCTCGGTCACCTAAGAAGCAGCAGCATTCGTGGCCATATAACCAAGCTATAAGCATACACCATAATACTCCACCACCAAGACAAGACCTAACAACACCTGCTATGCATTTCAGCTATAAGAGAAGCCTATCTCCTAATCATATTAATAATAATAAAATAATAATAACCATGACCAATAAGAAATAACAAACATTATCGAAACACATCCAAAAACAGAAGAGAGCAGCTGATGCAAATGAGCTGGAGACAGACAAAGGCTTTATAGAGGAGGAGGAGTGGATTCTGGATATGCCTGAGAGGGAATTCAGAAGAATGATATGGAAACAAATTCAAATACTCCAAAAAGGGGTCGAGAAAAATAAGGAAGAAGAAAGGAAAGTACTGCAGGAACAATCAAATAGGATTGACATGGCATTGGAAACCATTCAAAACCTGCAAAAAGATGTCCAGATAATCAATAATAAGATATCAGAAATGACAATAGTCTGAAAGGGGAACGGAGCAGACTAGAAGAGATGGAAGCCAGAACTAGCGAATTGGAAGACAAATTTCTCAATACTGCCAAGATAGAATAGCAAACAGCTAAAAGGATAACACAATCTGAAGAGTCTAAGATTCATGCTGGATAACATGAAGAGGAATAATGTAAGAATTATTGGCATTCCGGAACAAGAAGAATCAGAGAAGTCCACAGAGGAGATAGTTGAAGAGCTTCTGGAAGAAAATGGCCCTAACATTTTGAATGATGAGAAGATAAATATTCAAGAAGCCCAAC